TGGAATTGGAACTCGACCCTCCGATTTACAATTCTGAGCCATTACCCATTAGACCATCAGCACATCCAAGCTTACTCTACCTGGTATTTCTAAGCGGTTACCCATTTAGGTACTGACCAGACTCGACGTTGTTTAACTTCGGTGATATGTCCCTAATCCCAAACAAACTATTAAGCAGGAACATTTCTTCTTTTGGAACTATGCAAATGAAATGCGATCAATAATTATGCTATAAAATAAATATTAGCAGCAAATATTATGAAAACGGTGGAAAGAAAATAAGATAGAATCATTCGAGACTGTAATGTTCAGACAGATATATGTTAGAATAAAGAGGTCAGATTTTGGATTTCAAATCTAAAGGTTTGCCCTGGTGTCAATGGATCAAAGGTGGAAAGTAAAAAGCAAAACCAATAAATAGCAAAATATTATCAGATAATAAAGAAAAATGTGGAATGTAATGGTAAGAAATGATCCCATGATTAGCGTAACTCTTGGAACGGCTACGAAGAAATTTGCGAAACTTGCCGACAGGTATTCTTCATTTGTAAACACGTTTATAAATTCAAATGTTCGTAAATATGTAATAAGAAAGATATTGTTATGAATAATCAAGAGTGGTCACGCCTTGTTTTGTTACTCTCCTCTTTGAGAGCTATTTCTGTTTACTGGGACTATAAAAGGTCACTATACGCAAACCTTGTATTCTCAGTTGGTAAAGATTTCGTAAAGCCTACACCTGCATACTTTTGTCATTACATTAGTATTTTCGTATTTATTTTATTCCAGACACAAAGTTGATTACTGATTCAGGTTTTGCTCATAGAAAATTCATATAAAAAGTATGTTTTCTGTGGCGCGGGCGCTTCAAGAAATAGTGAGAAGAAGTGGACGAAAACACAAGTATTGGTCAGTCAAAGACACAGAGAATGGAGAATACAATTATTTATTTGAAAGTGATCAAAGAAGTACGAAACAATGTACGGAGTAAATGACAGAAACTCTAGCTGATAAATGACTCCTCTATCATGATAATTCACCTGTCATGATTCATTGTGTGTTTGTAAAACCAGTTAAGAAATCAATAAAAAAAAATGGTATCCACCTTATTCTCTAGACTTAGTACAATATATTTTTACCTATTGCCAAAATTGAAAAATACTGTGAAAGGTAAGAGATTACCTGATATCTACTAACACATGACTATGGCCATTTTAGTGGAAGTTATTCTAGAAAACAAGTTCCAAGACTGTTTCCAGAAATTAAACCATCGTTTCACAAAATAGAAGGTGACATTTGAAGGTGACAGCATACAATAGTGACCAGATAAGTAAATATTCCATTCAAAGAGCCATTAATAGAACTGTAACACCTCGTATATAGTATCTTAAAGTTGGAAAAATGATAAAATTCTAAGATAAGTTAGCCTCGATGTTAGTAAGAAGAATCCCTTTAACAAAACTGGAAAACTCTTCTTAGATTCCAAATATGATATACATTTATAAAAACCATAAATAAATGAGTAAAACGCCTAAATCAGTACAGAGAGACACTAATATCTGCTGATGCTGATCAATTATATCAATGTCAATTATTTCGCGATAGTTAAATTTCCGAACCGGAGACGTGTTTAAACGTTCCTATCTGCAGATATATTTGTGTTTGTCACTGAAAATTCGTAAAGTGACCGTTTGCAAGAAGAGAAGAACCCGTATTCGGTCAGTCCACTAAAGTTCTGTAGGATCCAATGAGAAATATGGGGTCACACTTCTCAACATGCAGAATAGTCTACCCCAGTGAGCGAAATAAAGGGTTCAGTTCGACATTCCAACCACCTGAAGAAGGTTTTAAGGGACGGAGTTACTACAGCTCCCACCCCAGGCACAACCAGTTCTGAATTTAGAGTCGTCTTTGTCTTAGATTTTTACTAACCAAGGCTGAAGTCCGCAGCTGTGTGGGAGAAAAGAAATTCATTCATTCATTTACCAAGGATATTTACGTGAAAGTGAAAGTTATTAATCTGACTGGAATTCGAAATCGTCTCTTCTATTTCTTATTTGGAACTCTTATTACACCACCCGACCATCCTAGACAGCAGTTTTTTTTAAACTGATTATAATTGAGAAACTTACTGAGTAATTTGCAAAGTTCCGATATGATTCTCTGCGAAGGGCACAATATATGATTGCCGTGAAAATCTTGATTGAGAATAATATATGTTAACCTTAATCTTTCGTCTCTTTTCGAGTAAAATAAAAGTTAGTTTGCCGATCGATCTAATGTTCTCGCAGTTGATTGATTAAAGTCATTAAACATTGGTTCATCGAGTAGGTCAGTAGATAAGCGTTATCTTTCTTTAATACTAATTTTGCCAAAGTCTTCGCCCGTATTGGAAGCTGGCACAGTATATTTAACAGGATCGATATGTGGTCAGATGGCATTTGCGTCTTCTTTCTTTCAGTTATCGATCTCAACAGTATTCGAAGCAATGTCTGATTCGTATCGATTGATAATTTATAAAAGAAACTTAATGAAATTAGTGATTAAGAAAATCATCTAGAGAAGACAGAGTTGCCTGATTAAAACAACGTAAATATTTATCATGACATTTTAAAATTAAGTGTTCAGTTAAAGGATTTCTGGTATCGAAAGAGATATTATTCATTAAATGTAATAACTATCTTTTTAAGATTTGAACCCACACAGGTTATATTACTGAGTAATATTATGATCGGATATATATTGCAAATGTTCGGATTATTTACATTTTGCACCAAAGGAAACCGACACATTGGATTACATCTGTTGAAATTACATAATATTAAGCCCAACACTGAAGACTACAATTTATTTCTCGACTCTCTGGTTGCAATTTTAGTTTAGGTTCTCAGTCAGCTCCAAATTGTCAATTGTTATGAAAACGGTATATATGTTCTTTCAGATTCTGACAAATTATTAAACAAAAGATGACGTTTATGAATGACCTAAATATAACGGAATGGTGACAGGCTAGTTTAGGTGAATATTACTTATATACCTTTTATTTCTTATCCCTAACACGTGCAGAGGGTTGTCATGAATTATTCTCGGTCTAGATAGGATTTGTTCCTCATGCGCATATATTTTATAATTAATAATGTAAAAGTAAAAAATTAAATCTGATTATTTGTAACATAGCCACATTTTGCCATTATTGCTCATCCAAAATGACATTGATGTAACCACTAAATCAAACTCAGCTCCTGATAAAACGCAATAACCAAAAATTTATAAAATTTGTTGCTTGACTGCCATATCCTAAATCTCACCAGAGCTTGACCACTATGTTTTCATCTCGACGTTGGACTTTATATTGAACTTGATGACCTAAAGGAACAACTGCTAAAGCATAACATGGCTGATATTTTCCACCACCATATATATTATCATAGACGATTCAGAAGTCGCATGCTTCACAATGAATACCTACCTTATACCCGGGAAAAGTCACGTATTTTTTTTCCTTTTCATCATCTGATCCAATTCAATTTTTTTTATTATTGTGGGATTTTTTTTTGCTGCAGTTTGAATACTTTTTTTGTGTACAGCATCTCAGATATCAGTTTGAATTTGGGCTGTTCGGCGATGATCCACATCAAATTGTTTGGTTTTTGGGCCTTTACGGACAGTCAGTTGATTCTTATCTCTTAGATTTATTTCTCTGTCGTATCTCCCTTCAAACACAAAAAAAGCCACATTTGGGCTGTTCTGGTTAGAGGATCCTCATCAACTTGTTTTCATTTTGTCGGTGCTTTACGATGAAAAAAATGACAGTTGATATATCCCGACGTTTGACCGGTCGGTGTGTGTGTGTGTGTGTTTATTTCTCTTGGTCGTATATTATATGCAAAATAACTGTCAGAAATTGTTAATGGGCATTTACAAAATAAAAAAAAATAGTTTTGAAATTAAAAAAATATTTGACAATTGAATTTCTCGTTATATTTGTTTCTTTCTGTCATTTCAAACGAGGGTTATTCAGGTTGTCTTGGGAGTGAGGACACGCTATTCTGCTTTCCAAACGTAAACGTTCCAAATGCCATCGCCATAGCATGCATTTTCATTTTCTGTCTGAATATGCCATGTTAATAAAACTTGACATAGGATCGTAACGTAGGTGGTGAGATGGGCTGATATTTCTGGATGAAAAAAAAAGAACGCTAGAGATATATCCCGAGATGGGGTTGTTTTTTGGTTAATGGTCGGTGTGTGTGTGTGTGTGTGTGCGTGGGTGGAACGTGATCTAAGCTTTGTGTGGTGAGATGGATCTAAGCGTAGGCGGTATGTGTGTGCGCGCATGTGTGTATGTGTGGGATCAAAATAACGTATATGTTCGATGCGTAGGTATCAATTGCGGTTAATGGGCATTTACAAAATAAAAAAAACGATAGTTTTGAAATTAAAAAATGCGCAATACTTTGACATATTGATTTCTTTCTATTCTGGCTCGTTATATTTGATGGATATCTAATATGGGGTATACGGTGACGCAACTTTGGACGCCTATATTCAAAGGCGGTGAGATAGGAACATTCCTGGTGAGATCTAAGCGTAGGCGGTTTTGTCTTGTGGTGAGGGGACACGCTGATTCTGCTTTGCGTAGGCGGTGAAATGTAAAACGTTCCAACCAGGAAAGGAACTTTTTAGGTTTTATCTGAAGAAAGGAACTTAAATTTACATGGGGTTAAGTCGGTGAGACATGCCCAGGTTATTCTCATAAGACAGGAACTTCATTTCCCCAAAACAAAAACAAAAAAGTTCAAGTTAATCGTAGGTGTTGAAGAGATAGAATCGAAGACAAGGCGGTAGTGAACGATTTGATCAAAAAACTTTGAGATGGGATCATAGGATCGATGCGTAGGTAATGGGGTAGGTGAGATAGAACGATGCGTAGGCTGGGGTCTAACGGTGAGACAGGAACGTATTTGGATGGGATCTATCGGATCAACGATGCGTAGGTTTTAAAATAAAAACAGGAACGATGCGTATGGATTAAGGTAGGCGGTGAAATAGGAACGATGCGTAGGTGGTGAGATGGAGTCTAAGCGTAGGCGGTGAGACAGGAACGATGCGTAGGTGGTGAGATGGGGTCTAAGCGTAGGCGGTGAGATAGGAACGATGAGATAGTAGGTGGTGAGATGGGACCCGTAGGCGGTAAGGAACGATGCGTAGGCGGTGAGACAGGAACGATGCGTGCGTGGTGAGATGGGGTCTAAGCCTGGGCGGTGAGATAGGAACGATGCGTAGGTGGTGAGATGGGATCTAAGCTTGAGGCGGGTGAGATAGGAACGATGCGTATGTGGTGAGATGGGACCTAAGCTCAGGCGGTGAGACAGGAACGATGCGTGGGTCGTGAGATAGGGTCTAAGGTGAGATGGGGTGGTGAGATGGGAAAGCGTAGGCGGTGAGACAGGAACGATGCGTAGGTGGTGAGATGGGATCTAACAGGAACGATGCGTGTAGGTGGTGAGATGGGGTCTAAGCGGGCGGTGAGACAGGAACGATGCGTAGGTGGTGAGATGGGGTGAGATAGGAACGATGCGTAGGCGGTGAGATAGGAACGATGCGTACGTGGTGAGATGGGGATGGGGTCTAATAGGAACGTGCGTAGGCGGTGAGATGAGATAGGAACGATGCGTAGGTGTTGAGATGGGATCTAAGCTTAGGCGGTGAGACAGGAACGATGCGCAGGTGGTGAGATGGGGTCTAAGACGTAACGGCGGTGAGACAGGAACGATGCGTAGGTGGTGAGATGGGATCTAAGCTTAGGCGGTGAGATAGGAACGATGCGTATGTGGTGAGGATGGGAGACCGATGCGTAAAGATGGGGGTCTAAGCTTAGGCGGTGAGACAGGAACGATGCGTAGGTCGTGAGATGGGGTCTAAGCTAACAGGAACGATGCGTAGGTGGTGAGATGGGATCGGTGAGACAGGAACGATGCGTAGGTGGTGAGATGGGGTCTAAGCGTGAGGCGGTGAGACAGGAACGATGCGTAGGTGGTGAGATGGGATCTAAGCTTAGTGGATGAACGACAGTGAACGGGATGCGTGGGGTGGTGAGATGGGGTCTAATGGGGTCGTCGGCGGTGAGATAGGAACGATGCGTACGTGGTGAGATGGGGTCTAAGCGTGGCGGTGAGATAGGAACGATGCGTAGGTGTTGAGATGGGATCTAAGCTGAGACAGGGCGATGCGTGAGACAGGAACGAGGCGGTAAGACAGGAACATGCGTGGTGAGATGGGGTCTAAGCGTAGGCGGTGAGACAGGAACGATGCGTAGGTGGTGAGATGGGGTCTAAGCTTAGGCGGTGAGATAGGAACGCGTGGTGGTGATGCGTATGTGGTGAGATGGGACCTAAAGCGGTGAGACACGAACGATGCGGTGGTGAGATGGGGTCTAACGTAGGCGTTAAGATAGGAACGATGCGTAGGTGGTGAGATGGGGTCTAAGCGTAGGCGGTGAGATAGGAACGATGCGTAGGTGTTGAGATGGGATCTAAGCTTAGGCGGTGAGACAGGAACGATGGTGAGATGGGATCTAGGCGGTGGACAGGAACGATGAGATGGGATCTAAGCGTAGGCGGTGAGACAGGAACGATGCGTGGGTGGTGAGATGGGGTCTAAGCGTAGGCGGTGAGATGGGAACGATGCGTAGGTGGTGAGATGGGATCTAAGCTTAGGCGGTGAGATAGGAACGATGCGTGGTGAGATGGGATGGTGAGATGGGAACGATGCGTAATGGGACCTAAAGCGGTGGTGAGACAGGAACGATGCGTGGGTCGTGAGATGGGGTCTAAGCGTAGGCGGTGAGACAGGAACGATGCGTGAGATAGGAAACGAGGTGGTGAGATGGGATCTAAGCTTAGGCGGTGAGATAGGAACGATGCGTGGGTGGTGAGATGGGATCTAAGGTCGCTTAGGGCGGTGAGACAGGAACGATGCGTGCGGTGGTGAGATGGGGTCTAAGCGTGAGGCGGTAAGATAGGAACCATGCGTAGGTGGTGAGATGGGGTCCTAAGCGTAGGCGGTGAGATAGGAACGATGCGTAGGTGGTGAGATGGGGTCTAAGCGTAGGCGGACAGGAACGACAGGAACGATGCGGTGAGACAGGAACGATGCGTAGGGGTGGGATGGGATCTAAGCGATTGGCGGTGAGACACCTAAGAACGATGAACGATGCGGTGGTGAGATGGGGTCTAAGCGTAGGCGGTGAGACTAATGCGTAGGATGGGATCGTTGAGACAGGAACGATGCGTAGGTGGTGAGATGGGGTCTAAGCGTAGGCGGTGAGATAGGAACGATGCGTAGGTGGTGAGATGGGATCTAAGCTTAGGCGGTGAGACAGGAACGATGCGCAGGTGGTGAGATGGGATCTAAGCTTAGGCGGTGAGACAGGAACGATGCGTAGGTGGTGAGATGGGGTCTAAGCGTAGGCGGTGAGACAGGAACGATGCGTAGGTGGTGAGATGGGATCTAAGACAGGCGATGCGTAGGTGGTGAGATGGGGTCAAGAACGATGCGTAGGTGGTGAGATGGGATCTATGCTTAGGCTGTGAAGCAAGAACGATGCGTAGGTGGTGAGATGGGATCGAATCGTTGTTGGGGAAATAGGATAGAAACGTCGGTGATGATGTAGGATCCTATCGTAGGCGATGAGTTATGATTTATGGCTGTGTAGTTAGGTAGGAACGAAGTTTAGGTGGTATAAGATTAAAGCGTAAGAGGTGAGATTGGATCAAAATATATGTGGTGAGATGGGCTCGAATCCTATTTTGGGACATCGGGTCTTAGCCTAGGTGGTCACGTAAGCGCGATGAGTCGTTCAATTGTGGGTGACTTATTTTACTGAAATCTGATTCATGTTTATTTTTTGACCAGAAACTTATATTTTATGAATATTTTCTTTTACTATTAATATCTTCTCATTACTATAATTTTGTGATCTTGGCTTCATGTTTGTGTATCTTTTATTTTCGGTTACTGCATCGATCTATTGACATCATTTGTAAATACCGTTACAGAAACATTGAATGTTGGTTGAAGTGATTAAAAATAGATCGTGATCCAAATTTGTTAACCCTCATACTACATAAGGCTTTCTTTTGTTCAGTTATTTTTACCTTCCTGGTTCTTCCATTATACTATAATTGACTTCGACTGAGTGTTAACTTTGTCTGAAATGAAAAAGGTGGGTTATATTTATAACCAATGTCTTGGTTCAAAGGAAACTGTTAGCTAAAACCTGTTCAAGAAGTACACTTCGGTGCGTGTGTGTTTGTACTTGTTAAAATTTACGGGTTCTTGTAAAAACATGCTGGGTCGTGTAAGTACACTCACGCACACATACTTTATATTTTATATATATATATATATATATATATATATATATATATATATATATATATATATATATGTGTGTGTGTGTGTGTGTGTGTGTCCGTGTGTGTGTGTCCGTGTGTGTGTCTATATACAATACCTGGCAATTGTTTATCTGTTTACGTAGAAAAGAATTTGCGAGATGTTTTCTGAATAAGACTGATGTAATAAGGCTTAGATACAGTCACGTTTTTGCGTAGAATGATTACGAAAAGTTATTTGAGATTCTTATGACATTCAACCACAGGATTACATAATACAGAGTTTAGTTCAATGTAAACATAAACGATAATCAGTATAAGTTCCTCCACGTAATAGTATGTATTCGTTATTGATGCTTTTCATCTATCTATCTATCTATCTATCTATCTATCTATCTATCTATCTATCTCATTCTGTTCATATCTATCTAGCTAGCTCACTATCTCAGTCATTTCATATCTACGTTTTTTCCTATCTATTTATCTATATATCTAGAAAAGAAACATGTTATATAGTAACTCAGTATCTGTCCAAACTAATGAGATTATTTACATATAGATCGTGTATCTTTGACAAGGATCGGTGGAATTCGATAACCACTTGAAGAAAACACGTTGGAATCATGACATGAAGATCATAGGAAAGTGTTGGTCAGCTGAGGCATTGATTCGTTAGGTTTGACACTCGTTGATTGCTTAAGAGAAAAATGATTTTATCAAGAAATATTGCCTTTAACAAATCCTCCACATACGTTCGTTTTTTTCTAGACGTGTTGTACAATGGTTAGTGTCAGGGGAATAAGAAATCGGAGTGTCAAGTTCATATTCCAATGGTGTTTTAAATTCCTTTACGTGCCAAAAAAGCATGAATCCATCTTCTCTCCGGCATCTATAGGCTAAATCTGCAGAAATCATTGTTATTCTAAAAACATTGTCAATGTAATATTCACTCGCAAAAATAATCATTCCTAAAACCAAAAGTATTTTTCGCCTTTAAATAATCCACAGAATCTTGATATGCCGTAAATAAAAAAAAAGATAAATCAATTCAGTTTTTACAATCAATTTTTTTCAGTTATACAAGCTTTTAAGCGAGGACACAGTATTTAGAATAAAAAGTGGCGTCTAATTCAAAGACGAGTATCCACTAAAAACACGCTTAAATTGAAAAAAAGACGGCTTAATGATTAAGAATAAATCTATAAACTATATATATATATATATATATATATATATATATATATATATTAATATAATAATATATATTAATTAATTATATATATATATATATTATATATATAATATATATATTAAGTTGTAATATTGGAGGAATCGAGGCTTTTATCATACAGTCTCAGTTACGGTGCTCATGTCTTGAGAATATCTGATGACAGGATGCACATGATCCTAATGTACAGCCAGTTAGATCTGGGCTACAGTAATGTAGGACGCCCACGGCTAAGATACAATGACAAGCTAAAAAGCAACTTGTCAGCAGTCAATATACCACATAACACCCTTAGCCTTGGAGCGGGTAGAGTGGAGATCAACGTGTTTTAGTGGACTCAGCAATTTTCAATCTGCTTGTCTGAATCATCTTCAAGAAGAGAGCAACATCTAAAAAGGTCAGCCAATCTAACAGTGATCTCATCCCACAATCCTCACACTTGCTCCATATGTGGCCTTCTTTGTAAATCACTAGCGGGTCTTAAATGCCACTTAAAATTATCGCACAAACTTTCATAACTGAATCAATAAGCAGTCAGATCCTCATACGTCGAAACCGACGGGAGAGTCTATTATATATATATATATATATATATATATATACTTTACTTCCAAATGTTGAAACAAAAATGAAAAGAAATTTACATATTTTTTGACAGGCCGTATTAAACATATGTAAATTAACGAAGTGTGGAAGTGAGGGGGAGAGAGAATACATGAGTGAGTTAGCAGACATTGACACATTTATATATATATATATATATATATATATATATATATATTAAAATTTCTCAAATCTGACAACTGATCAAACAATATTTTTTTTATGAGAAAGGCTTCGTAAGTTCTGCCGGTGTCAAATTCTCCAAATGATACTTCCTCATTATATATGCAAGATATTTCTCTTGTCTCTTTCTTATTCCGTCATTTTTGTTTCCAGGTTTCTTAAAATCTCTTTGATATCCACCACAGGCAAACAATTTAGTGCCACCGTGAATTTCTTTAAAAACCTAAAATGATTTTTTTTAATTAGTTTTTTTTTTTTTTTTTAAATCGAAGGTAAATTTTTTTCTACTATAGTGCAACAGAGTTTATTTTGACAAAAAATAAGCACTTAACTATAAAAATTATCATATAACAACATCATAATTGGTTGTTGAAAGCCCGGAAATATTTTCATATTATGTTATAAGAATTAAATATAACTTTTTTTGCAGAAATAATGTTGTAATGATAAAATTCTTACTAATTAACCCATAGGTAGGGGAGAAGAGGTGGATTAATATCATTCCCAAGAGTACTTGCGCGGAATTGCATATAACAAACCACACTGGAAATGAAAATGTGCTCCCCGATTGACAATTCCGAGCCATTACCCATTAAGTTCCCACATATACAAACTTAAAGACCTTTTATTGACAAGTGGTCACCCATCTTGATGCTGACCAGATTCAAATTTGCTTACTTCGGTTATTGCACGGTAACCGGTGTTTGAACTTAATATAGCCATAAGGACCCATGTTTCCTTAAACTTATATATATATATATATATATATATATATATATATATATATATATATATATATATATATATATATATATATATATATATATATATATATATATATATATATATATATACATTGACGTCAACACTCAGAGGCGACAGACTGTTTCATGCTAGAAGCAATCGTCAGTCTAAGGATTGCGTCTAGCATGAAACAGCCTGTCGCCTCTGGAGTGTTGAATTCATGTTCACTTTTATATTTATATTCACATACGCTGTATCTCTGATATTGAGCACTTTATCCCGTAAATATAGCACATCTTAAAACTATATTTCTTCACACACACACACACACACACAAGATACATATATATATATATATATATATATATATATATATATGTGTGTGTGTGTGTGTGTGTGTGTGCATCTGTATGTGTGTAGGGGGTAGTTGGTATAATCCAGGCGAGTCCTGTTAACAAAACATAGAATTTGAAATATGTTAAAACTGACTCACAAAATGCCCTCAATGTTTATTTTCATTAAACAGAGAAATTTTCTTTTACAATTGGAATTAACATACCTTTAGTTAATGACCATTTTCACCTACAAATTGTATATTAAAAAACGCAGGAATTTTATTTAATACACTGGGGGACGAGATGAAGACATTAATCAATGATTTAACCTGGAATCACAATCTACTTAACTGATTGGCGTCAGCATTTTTTGAGATGAATGTTGCATAAGAATACGGATGCTGAAAATTGCCCGATCCAATCCGAAGGAAATGGCCTGAAGCAATGAAATGCACATGCAATTCCACATATAAACCTTGTTGTTTAACCCTTTGACCTCATCGTTTTCCAAGTTTAACACTTACAAAAATTATTTAAATCTTTGATCATTGACATACTGCTACGCTGTTCCTATCACCAAAGGATATTTTAAATATTTCTTCCCTTTCAAAGGGTTTCAAAATTGAAAAGGTGACATGGAGAAAGATCGGAAGATTAGAGCGAATAAACTGTACCCTCAAATTCTACTTCCTTTTAAATATCAACCGTTTTCTTCGCTCTGACGTATTTTTTTTTACCGCAGCTTCTTTGTCTTTTCCTTTCAACACGTATTTCTATACGCACGTATTAAAGTTGAATTTGCACTGTCTGATCCCTTTTTTAAAATAGTCATCAACATATCTTCTATATATTCAAAACAAAAGAAAACAATGACCACGTGATTGCTCAATTTTGTGAATTGATTTCAAAGAGAACCTGTGTGCATTCAATACATGAACTGGTATGGCGTCACTGGATCATCGTTATGTAAAAATGATCGTATTTAGACTGACATTCCAACAAATTAATAAACCTGCTGAATTTATTTGCAGGGCTTCCGCTGACTATCAATTCTGGGCGGATTTCAAACTTTTTCGCATCCATTTAGATGAAAACTTTCGTACCGCCAACTGCCCAAGAATTATAAAAACAATCTCGATTTTGCCACTAATTATCTTAGCAATGATGCGACGATATTACAAGTACAAAATTACAATTTTAGAAGATGAACACTTTACAGGCTTTCCAGACTGGATTGGGTAATGGATCTTAAAGTTTTCTCGCACGAATTTATCACACAACAATCACCGTGGATGAAGACGATTTATATGCCATTATTTGGGGCGTACATTCAGCATGAAGTTTTGTAGAAAAAAAGAGTCTATATGACAGACGCAATTCAAAATTCCAGACTTCTTTTAAAAATGCTTCAGTTAAATTTATAAAACAAATTCAAATCTATAAGCAAATATAGTAAGATTGTGACGTCGTCCCCCGGTCGCAGCGCCGACTGTGACGTTCTATCCTGATCTACCACGGCGCCAGTTGTGACGTCCCTAAACAGCACCAATTACTGACGTCTTCGCCGCGGCGTCAGCTGTTCGCTCCTCGCAGCTCCGTCCGGGTGTCGCTGCTCCAAACGTGACGTTCTAACCCTTTGGTGATTCGGGTAGGAATCTGGTTAGATTGATACCAGCCTCGCCGTTCCCAACCTGCTTCCAACGCCTGGTTACCAGGGTAACTGCACTGATCTCCAGTCTGCCTACCCACGTTGTGAATTGATCTTAGACAGACGAGATCAAACAGGGGTTGGGGCCGTAATGCAAGCTGAGTTCAACGGGGGTGATAACACACAATATGTATAAAAGAAAATAAAATGAAAACTCACAAAGTTCAAAGTATCAAAGAAAAAGGTAACAAACTTTTTATGTCTAGTTGTTCGGTACATAGGACTGTGTCTACCTCCCGACCCGTTCTGTGGATTGTGGCCCGACGCTTTCGCTAGGCAAATTTTAACGCTTCAAGTTGTCTACTCTCTAAGAAATTTGTGTTTCGGTGTGTCTTTGGACGAAAGTCGAAAAAACTTATTTCTGTGGTCTGGTTCTAAGTCGCTCTTCAAACTACTTGTTCTTGGTTGAAGAAGATTCCAAAATTTCGCGTGAATCTGGTCAGCTATCTTGAGGCGGTTTCAACACTGGGCACTCTTCTCTCTGCCGTCCGGGGCTGAACTCTTGGCACTCATCTCTGCCGTCGGTGCGTGAACTAACCTCTTCTCTCCAGAGTCTGAACTACTGGGCACTCATCTCTGCCGTCGGTGCGCGAACTTCTTCTCTCCAGAGTCTGAACTACTGGGCACTCATCTCTGCCGTCGGGGCGAACGAACTTCTTCTCGCCAGCTTGGGTCGAACGAACTCTGCACTTAGGGCCAAACGAACTGGCCTCTTCTGCCCGCGTGGGGCGAACGAACTCGGCCCGCCGTCCGGGGCTGAACTCTTGGGCACTCATCTCTACCGTCGGTGCGCGAACTAACTCTGCCTGCCAGAGTCAAACTTCTTCTCGCCAGCTTGGTTCGAACAAACTTCTTCTCGCCCGCCTGGGTCGAACGAACTACTGGGCACTCATCTCTGCCGTCGGGGCGCGAACTCTGCACTCAGGGCCAAACGAACTGGCCTTTTCTGCCCGCTAGGGGCGAACAAACTCTGCCTGCCGCCCGGGGCTGAACTGATTTCTGTCTGGTGGGGCTTCGTTTTTATTGACACCGTCAATACTGGGGTGGGTCTGTCGGCGCCAGGGGTTCTTCGATAATTCTAAATACGTATCCACCTTTCTTATTTGTGGTTAGGGATTTTCCACTCTTTTCCATTTTTGGTAACTCTTTTCTCACTCCCACTCTCTCACCATGCTTCTGAGGAGCGTGAACTGTCCTCCCCACTTCTTCGTGTCGGCTTCTCATACTTATACTCTGGGTAGGGGCGTCGACTGATTTTCTTCGTGCGTCACGTGACCACTCTCGGCCAATGAGGTCCTGGTCGGGTATCTTTCCTCCTCCTTCGTGCGTCATGTGGTCTACTTGGCCAATGAGGTCCTGGTCGGGTATCTTTCCTCCTCCTTCGTGCGTCATGTGATCCACTTGGCCAATGACTTCTTAGTCGGGCGTGAACAACCCGTGGCTTTGTTTTGGAAAAGAAATACCATGCTTAACAAAAAAAAAAAAATTAAATCGCCCTTATCATGAGCGGCCGAGGTGACAACTCTCGGTTTCAATACGTGGCGTTTGTCAAGCAGTTTATCGCTAATTGGACATGGCCTAAGAAAGGAATTTTCCTCCAAGATCTCAGCCAACTTGGCGTCTCCAAAGCAAAAATAAAAATATTTCATTTTCCTTCGGCCCATGTGTTGATAACAAAAATCTTTATTATCGCAGGGGCAAAGTCTATTCTGTCAAAAGAAAAACTTAGCCAATGAAAACTACTTGTGTGGGATTTAATTCTCCACACCCAGTCAAGACTGTCTGTGTTTCGTCAATGTTCAAAAATGGGTTTCTTCCTTTGGTGACATCCATTGATAACACAATTCCATTTTTCGTGGATAAGCGGAAATCGGTCAACGCTTGTTCGTAGGTGACCTAGATATTTTCGACATTTGATACCTATCAACAATAACCCTTTTCTTCCTTATTCTCGTCTCTTAAGCCGTGTGTGTGTGTGTTCGCCTATGACCCGTCTCTGTATTACTTTTTTTTTTCTTTCTTCTTCGTTTTCTTTTCTTTCTCCAAATCGCCTGAATGCAAAGAAATAATTATTCTTAAAACCTAAAATATTTTTTTTCGGCCTTAAATAATCCTCAAATGGTTGATAAACCGTAAAAAAAGCAAATCATATATCTATAAATATTTCTTTCAAATCGTCAGGATGCATGGTGTCACAGATACATAAACAGAAAGAACGAAAGAAAGAAAAAAAGATAGATAGATAGATAGATAGATAGATAGATAGATAGAATGAACATAAATATTGATAGATACATATGCATAGATTAAAATAGATATATAGTTAGGCCGATTGATATGAAGAGACTGACATAGATAAGCTTCTGTCAATGATGTAGAACAGATAAAAAGTAAATACAGATTTAGACCTTAGAATATAAAATTGCACGCTTTAAAGGCACAATTTTGAAATTCCGCTCGGATATAAGGAAGTAGATCAATCCCATGATGACTCAACATGCCAGCGTACGTATAACGCCCACTAAAGAAGTAAGTAGTCATTCAACATGTTTTATTGAAATCTAAAGGCATGAAGTTGAAATATTTTGTTTATATTCATTTCGAAAAAGACTTAATCATAAACTTACGGATCTGAACGTTTTGTATTTCTTTTTATGCTCTTTTGATTGTTTCATACAACATTTCTTCTCGGGTGTGCCAAAAACAAGTCAAAAGAAAAATCCGTCTTTTGCATGTAAGAAAACAAAAACAATTTAAATGAAACGTAAGCAAATTAACGCTAGAAAATGAAAACTGATGTTAAAAATCCATGCAAAATTTAAATGCATGTAGTAGGTGGTTGTAAAAATTTCCCAAAACATATTTAAGGGTAATTCAGATATTCATTTACAAAAAAGGCGTTATAATTTTTCATACATATACAAAATCTCTCTCATTCCTATATTCTCTCTCTTTCCCTCATTCTATTTCTTTATCTCTCTCTCTCTCTCTCTCTCTCTATATATATATATATATATATATATATATATATATATATATATATAAAATGTAGCAGCCTTCGCAAATCAAATCAAGAGGAAAGACATTTTTCAAATCAGTATATGTTTTTCCTTTTAAGCAATCATTGTGCTTCAGATCTCTATCTCCTATCTGGACTTTTCATACAACATTCGCACCCAATCAGGCATCAAGTGTGTGTGTGTGTGTGTGTGTGTGTGTGTGTGTGTGTGTGTGTGTGTGTGTGTGTGTGAATGAATTTATGGATGAGGACGAGTGAGAATTGGTGATTTGATCAATCAGAAGACAAGCTGAAGCCGGAGAAAGCACAGAGTCATATTGTGATAATGGAATACTTGAAACATTAGGGCTGAAAACACATGACGCTAGAGCTAAGTAGTTCGTTAGTCCCTGACATGGCTAGCTTGGCAAAATATGTGAATCGATTAAATCGGTTGGATTGATGTGCATTTGTGACGCTTCGACGATAATTTTTCCTCCCACAAACATAAATATATGCAACCATAAATAAATCCAAAATTTCAGAATTAATCAGTTTGTCTGACAATTGCACGCATGAAACTCAGGATCACAAACTCACATCAATCCAACTAAAGCTGCATCACTGATGTTGAGCGCTTTCCAATAATTAACGCGCAAATTTAATATATAATTAATAAGTATAAATAAAAAAGTTCATATATATAACACTATATATATATATATATATATATATATACGATAAAAATACATACACACAAACATGCACACACACACACACACACACACACACACACACATATATATATATATATATATATATATATATATATATATATATGTGAAATTATATAGAAAATAGGAAGGAACTGGTTAGGTAAATAATCCAAAGTCCCTTAGTATTTTAGTTATTATTTTTACAAAATAGTGCTCGATACAAAAGTAGAGCATAAATATAATTATTTATTTAAAATATGATTCCAAATCGCTACATAAGAGGTCTCATGTTTCAAAACTAGAGCCGAAAACTTCAATATAATCCTTTAAATTAAATTGAGTTGAAAGTAAAATGGGCTCCGTTCCATCCTCAAGCGAAATTTTTGTTGGAATAACGTATATCTGAAATTTACTTGTTTTAAAATTGAAATCAAAATCCCCATGGTAACAGCTATGGTGAATTGTCTAAATTGGGTAGGCGAGTGTAGGGTGTTTATAATAAGTAGCGGTATAGAGATACTTTCAAGGTGTCAAGTCGGGGAAAGGTGGGGGGTCAAAATGAAACGGAAGATGTATTGGCCATCGTCTAGTTTGCTTGTCTATGGAGATTTATTTATTTATTTTATTTTATTTTATTATGAAAGGGAATTGTGCATATAAAAAAAAAAAAAAAACTTTCGTAACGTTTGTTTTTTGACGACTTCATAAAGGGTTATCTTATATGTAAGGGCTATTTGTTAAACAAGTTATATAATTTTTTTTTTTTTTATCTAATAATTCAAATAATTCAAACCAAAAATCTGATGATGCCTACAAAAAACCGTTAACTCAACTTAAAACCGTTAACGGTTTTTTGTAGGCATCATCAGATTTTTGGTTTGAATTATTAGATAAAAAAAAAAAAAATTATATAACTTGTTTAACAAATAGCCCAATCATCAGATTCATAGTAGGAATAATTGTTTTGTATTTCCGAGCGCTTTCGGCTATACCTTTAGCCATTATCAAGGATGATTCGATTATCAGCTTAGTAGAGTGTGTGCGTTCTGACTAAAGACTAAAAATAATGGAAGCTCTAATAATAAAAAAGAAAAAGCCAACTCTTAACAATATTAACTATGAACAAAGCCATAATGTGCTAACCGTATTCGGAAATTAAAAACATCACTACCACACACTGAACATACACAGAATGCACACACTCTACTAAGCTGATAATCGAATCATCCTTGATAATGGCTAAAGGTATAGCCGAAAGCGCTCGGAAATACAAAACATTCGGACAGTTCTTACACACCTTTGTCCAGAAAAGAAAGCTCTTGTCAGAACACAAGAAAAAATTAAATAAAAAGCTCAACCGTAGTACCGTGTCTGTCGTTTTTAATGAAACATGCATAAAGGAAGGATTGCTGCCTAAATATATATATATATATATATATATATATATATATATATGTGTGTAATTTAAGCTATGCTAAATTTTGAGTTAGCTTACTCAATATCAGGAATAGGGCGTATATGAATACAACACAGCAGATATGACCTGAGGATTGGTTTTAAGCATGAAACAGAATGTCACCACTGGGTGTTGACCTTTAATGTTCATTATGTACATACATATATATATATATATATATATATATATATATATATATATATATATATATATATATATATATATATATATAGATAGATAGATAGATAGATAGATAGATAGATAGATAGATATCAATAACACATAGGTATAGGTTTGATCTAAAAGAATTAATTAGCTAATGTCTATTACCCATCGAACTAATCGAAACAAGGCAATTATCTTAAATTATGTGGATTTTTTTTAAAATTTGTGGTTATCTATTACATTTTATACTTACGTATTCTTGCGTGAACAAGTATATCGATGTACACACACACAGATGGGCACACGCATATATATATATATATATATATATATATATATATATATATATATGTGTGTGAGTGTACGTGTGTAAATTTATTTAGAGTTGTAAGTAATAATGTATCAGTCAGAAAACAAGAAAATCAGAGACAGCTTCAGAATTTGACCAAAGACCCACATTTTAAAAAATCTTCATTCACGTATTTGCGGAAATAAATGTCCCTCTCCCTCGGCTTTTCAGTGGAATTCGATTCCCAACGATCGGTTCTTTACCTCGAGGAACATTCTGTCAGAAAATATCTGAAATTTTATCCGATAATCTCTGATCATTAAACTAACGTTGAAACTCTTACTAAAAAAAAAAAAAAGAAAATGAATAAATATGTGCAAAAAGAAGTCATTTGTCGTCTTCCGTTGTCACGACAGATAGTAATGGATGTGTAATGAGGCATTAACGACTAAAAGGATGAACATTTTAAAGCGGACAGGTGGCGATTTCTTTGCCTACATTGTTAAAAATAAATATCTTTCCCGCTCTTCGTATTTCTTTTATGGGAAAAAGAGCTAAAATGATAAAAATTTTGTTTATTTAAATTCATATACTCATAATAATGAATATTTACTTAGTCAATCTTGATGCGACACACATATAGTCCCTTTATCTGCAAACATACGCAAGTCTTTTTTTGTTGTTGTTTGTTTCTCTACTGGTTCTTTAACGACCGTAAAAAAACTTGTTGGCTGCTTGCCACAAGAAAAGGACAAGCCATGTGTATCTTCTTCTTTCGCCTCCCTTATCCTCTCTCTCTCTCTCTCTCTCTCTCTCTCTCTCTCTCTTTCCAACTCCTGCCAAAAGGGTTTCAAATCCAAGAGGAGACAACAGTTGCACTCTCATCAAATCACAATCTCCGTGTCGGATTTCTCAAATAAACCCTCATATATATATAGATCTAAACTAGCACATAAATCTTTCACTCTGTCTTAAGCAGAGTAACAATAGCAGCTGTCTTTCAAGGTTTACCATTCTTGTTATGGGTTTCCTTCTTTTGCCAAATGCAATATCACCAACGATCAACTTTAATTTTCTCACCCTGCCATCTGACCCTGTATATACATCGTTTAATTTGGCTAAATTCATTTCCTTACGTGGTGCCAGATTATCATGTGAAAGAAAAATGTTTTTGACCTTCCTGTTCCTTCTGTTCTTCTGTCACCTTTTGTCTTATTTGTCAATTCAAGATATATTCTCTTCTCCATCGACTTCCAAATGTCGTTGGTTAAATATTATACATTGCGCCATCCTTTCCTTTCATACGGATCTTTTCTGACGAATTGTTAGCTGAATGATTGTAGACTTCATCATAAGAATGTGATTTCGTGTTTTAAAGATTTTGGTCTAGAGAATTCCTTCAAGTTTTCGACAATGAGAAACCTGTTGTTAATGATGGCCATAGTCTCGTATAAAAAAAGGTTTTTAGTTGGATTCAGTCACGCCTTTGTGTCGACTGATCGTGAACAGCAGTAAGACCACTTCTGGTGCTATTTATTTACCTCTCCCAGCTGCCACACTTATGGCTTGCTAATGGGAGATTCCATCAGATATTCACATCCTAGAGTCTTTAGTCCATTCCTTTCATTAGTTATCTAAGTTCTTTGGCTACATCTGATTTCCCTTACATTGTC